ACTGAGCACGGCCTCGCCGCCGCCTGTCCATCGGAGCCGCCTTCGCCACTGACTGATGCCATGTTTGGAAACCCGCTACGTCTATTTATGTGTGTATGAGACAACGGGACCAAGTCACCGTTGTATTTATAGTGTGAACCATCTGTCTCCATGAATACATTTCACTTCAGCAATTTTAACATGGCGTTGATGACTACCTGTTCCGCTGTAAAACGGTGGGTATCGATAGCCGTCGGCCGCTAAGGAAGGGTCCATCTCGTCAATCCATTAGATGCATAGGTTCGGAACTGCTCTGAGACAATCTTGAGACGGGAAGGAAATTTTTGTGGACGGAAGGAAGAAAACAAAGGGAGAAAACAAGTTTGCACCCTACGCGGAAAAGGAAAGCATCACGAAATCATTCAATAAAGCAGCCGCGGTAATCATACGCTTGTTCTGAGCACAGCATTTCACGCAGCAAAAAAACTATGTCAAAAGCTTCCTTCAGCTTCGTTCTTGTAAGGCATGTTTTCACGTGGACCTAAAGGGCCAGCAGTATGGACTCAATACTATCTACTGAAGGGCTACCACGTGTTCGGCTGGGTCAATTTGGCACTCACAGCTTTTCCGAGAGTAACTTCATAACGGCGTGGCGCAGCAATACCAAGCTTTTTTACAGCCAACTTGTTGGTATTGAAAACCACATATGTCTTATAAGATCGATGATCTGCACAGGTCAAGGGCAAACCACGGCTGTCAGCGCCAGCACTCTCTTAGCAGCGATTTCACGACAATGCAACAGCGGAGCGTTACACGAAATAACGCCATCTTAAGAGGGTGTCAGAGAATTAGAAGCTTGAAATATTTCATTGACTTCGGGCCATGCATAACGGTAAGACCAGTAACAAAACCAAACTGCCTTTTCCGAAAAACTAGCTTCATCGGTACTTTTTGGCGTCATTTCAAATACCTCTATCACGACGTCAAGAGATTGCTGGTTTTCACTTCACAAAGGTCCAAGAAATTCACTGACAGAATATGAAGTATTGCTTGGAGGAACATGTCACCCGAGGTAGATCCTGACGCCCATTGTAAATTAAAACCTAAATATGCAAATAACCTCGTCGAATTTTAGTCACCTTAAGCATCTAAAAATGGGCTAAGGTTACGGACCTGACATGAACACAAGTGACATATTCTTTAAAAAAAACTAGGGTAAAGCCGGTTGGGTGAAGAGGTACGAGGGACGTTTGAAGATCACTCTTGCGTTCCACCTTGTTTCACCCGAAGGTCACGACGTAAAAAACTACAATTCTGACACAAGCGAGTCTACGCACATCCCTACCTACTCCATGAATCTGCTGGTTCTAGCTGTCTTAAGTTTTGTCATATCCGAGGGAGGGGTCAAACTGACCCGCCATCTCAACCGAGTACGTTACATTCAACCGGTTACCCATTCGCCCGCTTTAAGGGGGTGCTCAACATTTGTATGAGGATTTGGGCTGAAAGATCCATCTTAAAGATCATTTGGTGCAGCTCACAGCGCTGACCTTCTTAAGGCCTAACCACTCTAGTTTCCGTGAAACACACCAGCAAACATGCGACACAATTTCATGCAGACTATTTCAAGGTCACCCAGGCATCCAAGACGGGATCATAACGTCGTTCAAATCCGCTATTCCATTGGCCATGTCATTCCATCAAGAACAAGAGAAATATAAGCATCGAGTCTTTTATATCTGGCATTTGTGGGCAGGATTTTATTATATATCGGTCATCAATTGCCCAAACAATACTGTGCAAGGTACGTAATGAATCGATGGCGTATTGAGGAAAGTATTTAGTAGCGAAAGTGTGTTTTCTAAATCAGTCTTCTCCACTTTAAAGTATGCCAATGGCTGAGCGTCAGCGTCTTCTTCGCTTGAGCAGGGTGAGCAAAATTAACTCCTTTCCCCATGAAGCAAAAACAAATATTTTATAAGCTAACATTAAATTAGCTTCGTAAACACAAAACTCCTAGTGTCATTAATCGCTGGCGTATTCCAAAACGGCTTTGAAAAGTACACCATCAACAGTTTTCTTTCATGACCTGCTGCCTGGGATTTACCGCTTCCTTTCTTTGCAACATTTCAACACTTCAGACGTGGAATACTACATTACAAGCTATTCTACAGTCACGCACATGCCCACCACAAAAGCCTATCCAGGACCACGGAGAAGACGTTGGATGGGAACGATGATAGCGGCCCCGAATCACAATCCATTCCGATCACAGTTAACGCATCCGACATCCCGTCGAGGCCGCCTGGGGCGAGTACACCAGGTAGGGGGAGGGGAGGGAGCGACCTCATAACTTGTCCTGACCAGGGTCGACGGGCCACCGTCTCCACTATATAACCCAGCACCGGCCGGGACAGGCCATCACAGCAGCTGCACCTACCGACGAGCGACAGCTCCCCTCCCCATACCACCATACTAATCATGAAGATGGTAAGTCTAAGTGTCATAAACTCTCTCCGGTCTCAACACGAATCTTGGATTGCGAGGTACTGAAGCTGATGACATACTGACCTGCGCCGAGGAAAAATAGAGCACTTTTACACAGGAATCAAGAGGAAACATTACGATGGTCTATTATCCTTTCTGATTTGTCACATATTGCCAAGATCAAACAAAAACCGGATGAACTATGTATAAGATGTTGTTTCAAGCTTCTCTCCAGTGATTTCTAAGCCATCATGTTCCAGCAATCATCATATTATCGCCTGACGCTTCCGTTGCCTTCTTTACTCACAGCTGGCTCTACTGGCGCTGGTGGCCGCTGTCGCCGCCGACTCGCAGCCTCGCACAAGCTACGGCGCCGCCCCGGCCGTGCGTACCGTCGCCGCCCCCCTGCCCCTGGTTCGCATCCTCGAGTCGACCAGCACCAGCGACGACCAGGGCGGCTACGCCTTCCGCTTCCTCTCCGAGGACGACATCCAGCGCCAGGAGGAGGCGGCCGACGGCACCGTGTTCGGCTCCTACAGCTACATCTCGCCCGAGGGCGTGCCCGTCAGCGTGCGCTACGTGGCCGACACGCTCGGCTTCCGGGCGGAGAGCGACGCGCTGCCCACGCCCGTGCCCACCGAGTACCCGACGCCCGAGGTGCCGTCCACCGAGGCGGCGCCCGAGGTGCGCACCGTGCAGGAGGGCTACTCGGCGCCGGAGCGGCAGGTGGTGCGGGCCCAGCAGCCGGCCGTCGAGTACGAGCCCGTCTACGAGTACCGGCCCGTCTCCCAGTGATACTGAGCACGGCCTCGCCGCCGCCTGTCCATCGGAACCGCCTTCGCCGATTGACCGACGCCATGTCTGGAGACACGCCACGTCTATTTATGTGTGTGTGTGTGAGAACGGGACCAAGTCACCGCTGTATTTAAAATGTGACTCATCTGTGTACATGAATACACTTCACTTCAGAAATTTAAACATGGCGTTAAGGACTATTGTTCCCAATGGTGGGTTATCAATACCTGGGAATATCAATACCCTAAGGAAAGCTTCAGGATGTTGAGACTACCGATTGATGAACAAGCAACTAACTGTGGTACGGCAACAAGACCTTAGTGGATGAGGGGAGGAAGGCAACCAGACATCAAATTTACCACGTGCAAGGAAGAGCATCACTATCATCGAACAAGTCGATCATAGTATCTTCATCTTTGTTCTGTAAGCATCATCGTTCGTGAGATGAATGACGGATTCAATTAGGTTATTTAGCGTTGCTTGATGCAGCGCGTTTTAACGTGGAGAAAAGGTCTCCGCGGCCCTTAAAAGGCCACAAGATATAGGGATGGCACGGTCAAGTCATGATTGGTTCTTCCTTTACCATCTCCGCCACCATCCAATATCACAGACGTTAAATCAGCGAGCTACAAACATCCTACAACATAAATCCGTTCATAGACACCACACAGACATGACTTCTCGCGGAACCAAGCCGGGTATCGCGAAGGTGTCTGAGCGTAGAAAGACCTACCCATCAGAACGCCAACTATTTTAGTCACAAAACAGCCCAATAAGTCCCATACCTTCACTTGCGTTTTGAGTCTTGAAGGCATCAGCCAAATCATTTTAGCATTCTCGATTAAGTAGCGCGACTTTTAGTTGAGTCGTTTAGTCATGGTCCCTACTCTGTTCTTCACGAAAGACGGCGATGACAGCAAGCTTCATATCGATACCCAAATCCAAAACCACTGAAAGTTGGTCGATATTTCATGTTCAATGAACAATTATCTGCATGTGCACCACGATAAGTAGTTCAGCGCATTTGCGAGGAGCATTATGCGCATAGAGAAGACAGAAACAACAGCCTTATTCCTCAAAGAAAAACCACGAGAATAGAAATATACATGCGTTGACATTTCGGTAGCATGCCCTTGTCGAAACAAATAGAAGTCAATTTCTATGTTTTTAAAAAAAATCTAATTCAATAAATATTTTCTCTGCTTTTCCTTTCGATAAAGGCGTGTTGCCTCAATATCAGCCCATCTATATTTCCATTCTCCTGGTTTTTCTACGAGGAACAAGTCTATTTCTACTGTCTTATCCATTTGCCTCACATTAAAAAAAGGGAACGAAATAGGGGAGTATCATTAGCGACATTCTCGTACTGGGAAGTATAAACACAACCATTTATATGATTGAGGTTTTAAGGAAACCCAAACATCACTGGTCTCGTGCATTCCATAATGCCAACTTTTACTACCATGATTTTTTTTTGCCACCTCCTGCCATCCCGATAAAGTAACACCGACATTGACAAAGGTCAAAGATGATCAACCCTGACATTGGCAACAGTCACGTCGAACACAAACAGCTGCTGCTTGGATGCCAGGACTTGACATCAATGCCATATCGAAACAAGACATTTTCTGCGACTGAATACCACAACTACATGCGTCGGTAAGAGCTGCTCGACGAAGTGATAAACACCATGGTAATTTTGCAAATATTGTATGCAGCGGCAGAAATTGAAAACGGATAGGCTAGCAAGCTGCACGCAATCCCAAAGGCATTTTTGTATCAGGGAGAGATCTGATCAATGGTGAAGTGAACGGGTATGCACGGAAGGGGGAGGGAGCGATCCTTCTCCCCCCTTAAACTCTCAGGTCTCATATTAGAACAGTGAATGACTGCTCACAGAAAGCCAAAATTGGCGTGATTAATTCTGACTTACTTATGTCATCTTTCCTCTACTAATACCCCCAGCACCCCTGAGTTCGATGTCCCAAAACCCGAAATCTGACACCATCCCACGCGTATATCCACCGATAATGCAGGAGTATAATGGAAGCAAATCGTGTAATGTCACGTTTAATGTGCATACAAACGCCCTTTGTGTGTGTGTGTGTGTGTGTGTGTGTGTGTGTGTGTGTGTGTGTGTGTGTGTGTGTGTGTGTGTGTGTGTGTGTGTGTGTGTGTGTGTGTGCGTGCGTGCGTGCGTGCGTGCGTGCGTGCGTGCGTGCGTGCGTGCGTGCGTGCGTGCGTGCGTGCGTGCGTGCGTGCGTGCGTGCGTGCGTGCGTGCGTGCGTGCGTGCGTGCGTGTGTGTGTGTGTGTGTGTGTGTGTGTGTGTGTTGATATGGATATGGTTAACGGCGGGAGTGGGTGTGCGGTGCATTAACTAATCCTACCAATCAGCGTAAGTTAATATCCTCCATGGAAGTCTTCAGTTCCATGAACGAGCGGAGTCATCCACTGCGTTATCTCTGGCAAATACCTGATTGTCAACCGTTCTCAAAAACCGTTTTGGCCCAGTAACATATTCATAGCAAAGGTGGCCGCACGTCTGGATGACGGAATATTTCGCTACTACTGACACGACATAATGTCTGATGGTGAAAGCCAGATCAACGGCTATATAGTAGCTAGAAAAGATTTCTCGCAAACACCGGTCACTGTGCTAAGAACACTTAAGCGATGAATGTAGCTGTCTTTCATGTAGCAATAAAGAGCTCTGACTGACACATATCTGGATAAAAAGCTTAAGATTTCATGAGTAGTGAACTGGAAGTAATTGGTGGATTCTTTTCTCATCATTACATGCCTTCAGACGTGAATGAAGTAATACAATTCAAGTTACTCCACAACGGCACGCGCACAACCACTAGCATACCCTTGCCTGGATCATGGTGAGACCATGTGATGGAAACGTTGATAGGAGTACTGAATCGAAATCAATTCCTGTCACAGGTGACCCACAGACGTCTTGTGGAAGCCCACTGTGGCGAGCATACCAGGGACGGGCAGGGGGAGGGGGAGGCAGCGACCTCAGAACTTGTCCTGGCCACTGTCTAACCAGGGTCGACAGGCCACCGGCTGCACTATATAGCCCAGCACCGGCCGAGACAGGGCATCACAGCAGCTGCACCTACCGACAAGCGACAGCTCCCCTCCCCATACCACCACACTAATCATGAAGATGGTGAGTCTGACCACTGGTTATGAACATTCTGTGGGTTAAATTTGACGGCAGTGATGGATTGCGAGGACCGTGATCAACTGTTTCATGCTCTGTGCATCAATACAACTCAGCTTTACTGCTCCAGAATAAGATCAACCAAGGACAAAATCTTGCACAATCTTCAACGTCATACCTTGCCAAGGTCAACTAAAGAGAGTGTGGAATGCTACGCGCATCATTTCAAACATTTCAACACTTCTTCAACAACGCCATCTCTGAACGATCACTGTCTGACGCTTCTAAACGCCACTGTTCACAGCTGGTTCTTATGGCACTGGTGGCCGCCGCCGCCGCCGACTCGCAGCCCCGCACCAGCTACAGCGCCGCCCCGGCCGTGCGTACCGTCGCCGCCCCCCTGCCCCTGGTCCGCATCCTCGAGTCGACCAGCACCAGCAACGACCAGGGCGGCTACGCCTTCCGCTTCCTTTCCGAGGACGACATCCAGCGGCAGGAGGAGGCGGCCGACGGCACCGTGTTCGGCTCCTACAGCTACATCTCGCCCGAGGGCGTGCCCGTCAGCGTGCGCTACGTGGCCGACACGCTGGGCTTCCGGGCGGAGAGCGACGCGCTGCCCACGCCCGTGCCCACCGAGTACCCGACGCCCGAGGTGCCGTCCACCGAGGCGGCGCCCGAGGTGCGCACCGTGCAGGAGGGCTACTCGGCGCCGGAGCGGCAGGTGGTGCGGGCCCAGCAGCCGGCCGTCGAGTACGAGCCCGTCTACGAGTACCGGCCCGTCTCCTAGTGAGACCGAGCACGGCCTCGCCGCCGCCTGTCCTTTGGAACCGCCTTCGCCACTGACCAACGCCATGTTTGGAGACACGCTACGTCTATTTATGTGTGTGTGAGAGAACGGGACCAAGTCACCGCTGTATTTATAGCGTGACTCATCTGTGTACATGAATACACCTCATTTCCGCAATGCCAACATGATGTTTGGTGGTTGTTGTTCAAAGGTAGTGAGCATCGCGAGCATCCGGCTTGCTGAGGAAGGCCCCAGCGATTCAAAGATGACGCTGAGAATCGATAGGTTCCTATTGCTAGAAAGCAGTGAACTTCAAGATATTTTGATTCCTTGCGCAAGACTTTTCTCCCTGTCACCTCAATAGATTGGAAAGTCGGCGACTGGTTGGGACGGTGGGAGCCGGGAGCACGGCCTTTGCGACAAATATATGAAATTACATATTTCTCACTGTGCATGCAAGGTGACCGGACACAACTTGGCATCACAGTTAATCGCAGGACGCAGTAAATCCAGGCATGCAATTCTTTGCATCGCAAATGGTCGTGTTCTCATCTTGGTAAGATACCTGTGTTCGACGCAAGTTTTTGGGGTCGGCTCAGGACTGGCATCAGTTATATCGCATGCAACGTGGGCTAGACTGCACTGAACCTGACAGGTGGCAGACTGCACGTGCCATGTGGCAGCCAGGTGCATCCACAGGAAAATAGTCACATTTCCAATAGCCAGTACTAGCCATGCCGTCAGCGATGACATGTCAAAAATTCAACATCGGAATGGAGTTCTTACAATGGCGGTTAGCTGGGCTAGGTTACAAACATATTGTGAACTTACCTGCTTACCTGAACTTAGTAAGTATTACGAATTACGATTGTATTTCCCACAAACAAGCAAAGCAAACATCCACTTCACACGACCCAAGACCCAAGTACACGACCCAGGTCAGTAATGACCTGGACTCAACTGAACTGAACTCTGAAGGACCGAACTAGAGATAGGCATACAAAAGCGCCGAACGTCGTTTTCCCCAGGAGGCCTTGACTCATCTCATCAGGTCACTCTATGACGGATTAGGAGTCAAAACAGGTTTTCGCGCTGCGTAGAGATTAAAGTGCTGAGCATCTTTTTAACCGCATTCCAAGACAATTAAATTGGTAGGTCAAAGTCTCATTTGGAAGTTGCGTGGAAAAATTATTGAAATAATCCCAGGGACGTCACACTTTGCGATGTATCCTCCACATATGAGACGAGACGACCTTGCCACCATTCCTGCTTAATTCATATAGCCCCAGCAATAACATGCTTACGGCTGTTTAAGAGGCATTGGATGAGGGGTCAGGTAGGAATGATTTCATTGCTGTGACGATTGATAAAGGCAAACATGGCTTGCCCTCGGCTTTGTAGGTGCCAGAAAAACTCCCGCAGATTTTAGCATAAGATATACGTTTGCATGATGCCTGTACCATGTCAGCCCGTCTGGTTCTTGGCTGAGATTGGGCAAAGTTCTGTTCAGAATCAGCAATACTGAGAGACTTAACATCTGTTGGCGTCACAAATTGGGTAAAGGAGAATAAACTAAAACCGGAAGGCAGCTTGTCAACACGACGTTAGCAAACCCGCAAACACCCAGTTACGATGCCAAGAGGCCTGTTGAAAACCAGTGCCCTCTGTTGGCACGAGGACGTTACAAACTCGGAGGCTGCTGTGGGCATAAGCTTAACAAGTTCAAATAATGTTTTCACCGCTCAAAGCGTGCCGCAGAGCTGCCCTGTGTGTGCCTACCGATAACGAAGTTTTGCTGGAACATATCCAGCGGCGTGCGGGACCAAAGGCATCATGCAATCAGAAGGTAACACAACACACAAATGCCATCGGCATAGACATGTTGTAATACCATCAAAACGTCTTTAGTCTGCCTCAAATTATGAAAATAATTTTAGGTATGAAGTAGTTGAACCACGGCCAGATGGGGTGCCCAGAAAATACCAAATTATCTTAACATTTCTCTACAACATTTCTGCTGTTAATCTTGACGACTCTCCGTTGAGTCACTTCAATTCCCTTCGGCAGAGTCAATGGAATCTGGGCCCCCAATGGCGATGGTATTCAAGACCAGCATCACTCCAACTACCATGACCTCGTGAACGATGTTCCAAAACAAGACATGTGCGCCCCTTTGTTGACAGCCGTACGTCAATACGATGATTTCAGGCGAGCATTAAACGTTCAGGCGCGGACACGTTTTGTTCTTCTCCACTGGTGACCGGACTAAAAGTCTGCGTCTCCCATCAATGCACGCCATGAACGTAATTTGACGAAGTCACGTTTCTTTGTCCAAAAATAAAAAAAAAACAAATTAAACGGAAAACGTCTTGCAGAGCATGGCTACGATGAAAACGGCCTTCCCAATAAATTTGAAATCATGTTCTGAAATCCTCTTCCCTAGTTGATCTGCAAAAAGACGGCTCAGCTGATCGTTTATCTATAGCTTCACGGCCGCCCCATATCAGCTCAAAAACGTGCCTAATAAGGTTCATATAGTGGTTAGGGCTGAAAGCTGAGTCGTATTTTACTCTGCTCATCGGCGTTGATGTTCGAAACAAGCTTCAATCTTCAGCAATATCCAGTGCGTCAAAACCGTACAAGACCTGACAAACTACACTTCGCAAAGATAGCTTACAGATGCACACGGTGACATAGACGAATTTCTTTACATTAATGGCAGCGGTATCCAAGTTCGGACGAGAGCTGGACGCCCCGCTTCGACCCGTCATTCCTCCTCACCATTTATGCTCACACCTTGCAACAGGCAATGGACGGGAACATCAGTCGTGTGTTCCGAAGCAATCATCCCATGATCAGAGATGACCCACCTCAGGACCAATCAGAGCCGGCTGTGACGTCACAGTCGCCGTCGGCGCTAGGGAGCATCTTGGGGTGGGGAGGGATGGCCCCATAACTTGTCCTATCCACGGTCGAAGGACATCGGCTTCACTATATAAACCAGCACCGGCCGAGACAGGGCACCACAGCAGCTGCACCTCCTGACTGGCACCACCTCCCGTCCCACACACAATACTCAACATGAAGATGGTGAGTGTCACTACGGGTGTTGGTTTCCTCTAAGCTGAATACGATGAAGGTTTTAGATGGCACAGCGATGTCGCCATTTATACCCGGACCTGGGCCGAGGGAGACCATTAGTTTGGTTGCACTAGAGTAAAACCAACATTAACAAACATCCACCATTTCCAAACCCTTTCCAACATGTCAAACATTGCCAGGATCAACTAAAAAAGGATACCTTAGGCAGAGAATGTCACTTAGTGCCTTCATAAATTTCTGTAACTCGGTCCCTTCGAACGATTACGAGCCAACCACACGACGTACACGTCTCCTTTTTTACTCACAGCTGGCTCTTCTGGCGCTGGTGGCCGCTGCCGCCGCCGACTCGCAGCCTCGCACAAGTTACGGCGCCGCCCCGGCCGTGCGTACCGTCGCCGCCCCCCTGCCCCTGGTCCGCATCCTCGAGTCGTCCAGCACCAGCGACGACCAGGGCGGCTACGCCTTCCGCTTCCTCTCCGAGGACGACATCCAGCGGCAGGAGGAGGCGGCCGACGGCACCGTGTTCGGCTCCTACAGCTACATCTCGCCCGAGGGCGTGCCCGTCAGCGTGCGCTACGTGGCCGACACGCTGGGCTTCCGGGCGGAGAGCGACGCGCTGCCCACGCCCGTACCCACCGAATACCCGACGCCCGAGGTGCCGTCCACCGAGGAGGCGCCCGAGGTGCGCACCGTGCAGGAGGGCTACTCGGCGCCGGAGCGGCAGGTGGTGCGGGCTCAGCAGCCGGCCGTCGAGTACGAGCCCGTCTACGAGTACGAGCCCGTCTACGAGTACCGGCCCGTCTCCCAGTGAGACTGAGCACGGCCTCGCCGCCGCCTGTCCATCGGAACCGCCTTCGCCATTGACCGACGCCATGTCTGGAGACACGCTACGTCTATTTATGTGTGTGTGTGAGAGAACGGGACCAAGTCACCGCTGTATTTAAAATGTGACTCATCTGTGTATATGAATACATTTCACTTGAGCTATTTTAACATGGTATTGTTGATGAATGACTGTTCCACTGTAAAACGGTACGCATCAAAGGCCTTGGGTCCTTGAGGAACGGTTCACCTTGTCAATCCATTACATGGATAGGTCCCAAATTACTTGAGATAATCCGAGGCGGCACAAAGACTGTTATAGACGGAAAAGCAGTCGCCGTAATCAAATGTTTGTTTTCAGCACACCATTTAATGCAGCGAAAAATAAGTCCAAAGGTTTGTTCGGCTTCGTTCTGGCGAAGCAGGCTTTCACGTGAACCTAGAGCCAACAATATTGACTCTGTGCGATCTGTTCAATGGTTAATACGCGTTCGGGTGGGTCAATTTGATACCTTTTTTCTTCACGAGACTAACTTCCGAACGACGTGGAGGAGCAATGCCAAGCTCTGTTTAGCGTAGGTAATTGAACAGGAAATTCTTCGGTATTCAAAATTACATATGCCTCATAAGACCGATAATCTGCACAGGGCAAAGTCAAAGCCATACCAAAGCTGTCAGCGTCGGGAATTTCTGAAGGGAGCTTTCAAAATGATGCAAGGACAGAGTTTTACACGAAATAATGCCATTTTGAGTTTCATACAAATAAAAGGTTGAATGTTCCATTCACCGTCGGGTATGGATAAAGGAAAGACCGATAACAAAACCAAACTGCTTTTCTGGAAAACTACCTTCATGCTGTAGTATTTGGCGCTATTCTAAATCCCTCTATCATAACGTCAACAAACTGGTTTCGACTACTTCATAAACGTCCGGAGAATTCACTGACAGAAAATTTATTCTTGCTTTGAGGAACATGCCGCCGGGGATAGATCATAACACCTATTGGAAGTTGAAATACACAAATAAACTCGAGGAATTATGGTCATTTCAACCCTCTAAAACTCAGCAAGGTCACG